TAAAATGATGAGAACTTGAATAACAGGTTGAATGATCAGAGCTTAAATCATCAGAACTTAAATGATCGGATGGATATTGCAAGGCTACATGCCTTAGTGCTTTTTATATTGGATACCGTGATAACTATTTTTTGTCTACTGTTTCTTATCTGGTTTTTTCTTGGAACCGTCATCACTATCAATCAATACAATTCTGATAATCAAGACACAGGTATGACACAGACTAATATTGCTTCACTCTATTTTTGAACTAATAGGTTGTATTACATGTGATTGTAAGGATAATAGATCTAATGATTCTGGTCATCATGAGACAACCATAGTGAAAACAAGTATGGCAGAAACAAATATTGTGAAGCTCTATTCACAGACTAATAGGTTGTATTGCACGTGATTGTAAGGAACTGTATGATCAGGGACATACCTGCAGTGGAGTGTACACTATCAAACCTGATAAACTACCTGCTTTTGAGGTAATTAATTCATACAATAGCTGTAGTATCAAGATACATATATTATTTGGTAGGTTTATTGTGATATGAGTAATGGTGGTGGTTGGACTGTATTTCAAAGGAGAATGGATGGTTTGGTTAACTTTTATCTCAAGTGGGCCGACTACCAAAAAGGATTTGGAGACCTCAATGGAGAGTTCTGGCTGGGACTTGATAAAATACACCGACTCACAGCAACAGGCAATACTAGCCTACGTGTTGACTTGTTTGCACATTATTCTACATTTATAGTTGGAGATGCACATACAAAATACACACTAACAGTAGGAGGGTACAGTGGGAATGCTGGAGACAGCTTATCTGGTCATGATAAGATGAAATTTTCAACTCATGATTATGACAATGATATCGCTGATGGTAACTGTGCTATTGCATACAAAGGAGCATGGTGGTATACTAAAGGTCATCTTTCATTAATGGTCGGTATTTGATTGGTGCACATAGCACTTTTGCTGATGGAGTGCACTGGGGTAGTTTTAAAGGCCATCGTTATTTATTAAAGGTGTCTGAAATGAAAATTAGTAGAAAATGAAACAGCATTGTTCTTTTTTTAACAACTACCTATTATTAATAAATAATTCTATAGCTATACAGTTATGATGTTATGTTTTCTTGTTGTAAAACTGTCCCTTTGATCTATATTGTTGTTATAGTGGGAAAGAGGAATGATATAAAATATTTTTCATTCACTTCTCTCTCATTCTCACTTTATACCTTTAATTTTATTTTTCAATAATGATGATGATGATAAACTCAATTAGATCTATTTGCAAACTAGTAATGCCCTAAGAGGCAGGCCCTTTACATGATATCATATTTCCCTTTCAGTTTTATATTCATGAATTGTGTGTTTACGTTGCTATGTGTGTTACAGCAAGAGTTGAAATCCGCCCTTCAATCTATTGCAAAGAGGTGCCAGCTTTCAAACTTATAGTAACTGTTAGCTATGGCTGAGGAACTAAATGATCAGTTAAATGATAAGAAGAAATGGAATTTTGCAAGAATACATACTTTAGTATTTTTCATACTGGATATTGCTTTTTGTGTCCTGTTCCTTTTCTGTTTTTTTCCTGGAACAATCACTATTTATCAATCTCAAGAGACAGGTATGATAGCTACTAACTGATATTGTGTCATCCTATTTATACCTATAGGCTGCATAAGTAACATTGCACGTGATTGTAAGGAACTGTATGATCAGGGACATACCTGCAGTGGAGTGTACACTATCAAACCTGATAAACTACCTGCTTTTGAGGTAATTTATTCATGCAATAGCTTTCATGCATCATTTATTGCAGGTTTATTGTGATATGAGTAATGGTAGTGGCTGGACTGTATTTCAAAGGAGAATGGATGGTTCTGTTGACTTCTATCGCAAGTGGACTGAATATGTAAAAGGATTTGGAGATCTTAATGGAGAGTTCTGGCTGGGACTTAATAAAATACACCGACTCACAGCAACAGACAATACTAGCCTACGTGTTGACCTAAAGGACTTTGAAGGTGTCAGTGTGTTTGCTCATTATTCTAAATTTATAGTTGGAGATGCACATACAAAATACACACTAACAGTAGGAGGGTACAGTGGGAATCCTAATGACAGCTTATCTGGTCATAATAGTGCAAAGTTTTCAACTCATGATCGTGACAATGATAAATT